GAAGGCTGCACAAGGCAGTTTTTTAAACTTTGGTTTAATTTTGACTCATTTTTGATTCTAGTTAAAAAAGCAACCAGTATATTATATGAACACATCAGTCCTTCTAGACGGTGAACGAAGAACATAAGTTGTATTTGTTAAAATATAATGTTGAAAAAGATATAGTAGAGTAGATGAATCTAGTTTAAAAACTTTTTTAAATATAGATGAATCTGGAATAGAAAATTTGCAAATGTTATATTTAGGTAAAGTTTATAAATGGTTCATCCTGTATTCTATTTGAAATCCACAATTGATGTAAAGTCGAATAATCAGTAAATACTTGTGTATCAAAATAAAACTCTAGTTGAGATGGTTAGAGTATACTGGATTAGATAAAACTATCTTTTTTAGTAGGTTAAATTAACATAAAGTGATACAATTGAAATTTGTAAAAGAAAAGATTTAAGTTGGATGTCATGATAATTAAAAAGAAATTTACCTATAGCAATAACCTGAGACAGGAACAAGATATTTTTTGATCAAATATTATGTGTATCTTTGATATGCCAAGGTATGATTGTTTAAAGAGAAACTAAGCCTCCTGTGATTTGAAAGAGATTTATCATTTTTGGAAAGCTGATAAATGAGAAGTCAGATTCGTGATAGATAGTAAAAAAATTTGAAAGAAAATTAGTATGTTTATAGTGTTTGAAAGATGAAGACTAACAGACCAAAGGGTTATCGTATAATCAAAATTGTTGTTATAGTTGTTTAAGACGAATAATTATTGATAGTTCCAAAAGAGAATCATCAATAGAAGAGTTGATATATTGATAAATTGCTGTGTTTTAGAAGGCTATGAAAATAGTATTCAAGCATTCATTACTTGTTTTTAATGAATCTAGATAATATTTTAAATCAAACTTAAAAGAGTTAATTTTTGTATTATTCAATAAAGCAAGCAAATAGGAGATAAAAATCATTATTCTTTTCATACGGTCTATCATTTGATTATTGTTCTGAAAAGGTTGAGCTGCTAAATAAAGTTGCTATAAAAAGTTCTTCAAGGCAGAATTTTCTCTTTCAATAATGCTCGTATTATATCAAATACATAAATAGGTTCTTCTTTCTCTATATGTTTTTTTTCATAAAGAATTTTCATCATTCTCTTGATAGCTTCAGAAAGTTCAAGCGTTAAACTAAAGAATACTTATCTCATCTTCTGTAATCTTTGTTTCTTTTCTTAAGGGATTTTCTATAAACGCATATAATAAAAATTATACAAAACAATACCTTCTTTTCATATTACCTTTGTTAAACCGCTACTTTTAACTTCTTTTTATTTCTCTCTATTTAATGGTCAAAATCTGGTTGATTTTATAGCTTAACATTCAATGCACTTCTTCTTCTCAGACATATTAGTGGTGGTTAGATTCAAATGGATTCAATATATAATATTATTTTACAATGCAAAAGCTTTAAATTTTACTTAGTTACTTATGCATCTTTCATAGTAAGGATAGGATATATAAGCTCTTCAAAAATGTACTGTAAATCATATAAAAATTGGTTAATAAATTGTGTAATATCTATTTTAAAAATAGGTACAGTCATTCCTGTTGTGATAATCAGATTATATGTGATAATATAATCTAGGGTAAGTGGGATACTACATATAATATAATTTACTTATTAAATTTATTTCTTTCTTTATTACCTATATCCTTATTTATATAAAATTAGCAAAATGATCAAAACTGTATTATTTTTTATTAAGATTTTTTCTTTACTTTTCTTTGATAAATTTTTCTGTTTTTTTTTCTTTTTCTTAAATTGTTTACAAAAAGTAAGTATTAAGAAGTATCTTAATTAATGATAAAGATTAATTTACTTTGGATACAAAATCTTACGTAATGATACTTTCTCTCTCTTTCTAAATGACAACTCTCTTTTTAATTAGCTAATAACCTTTTATTAGATTTCTGATATCTAAGATCATAGAATTCTATATAATATTTTCTAGATTTTAACAATATGTAATTTAGTCTTATCCTATGTCAGGGATTAGCTATAATCTAAATTATAGAGCTCTTAACATAGAAGTGAAAGTTTGAAGAACTTTTATTAGAACTTAATGATTTGATTGCATATATGCAGTGATATGTATTTGAAAGATTGGAAGCATCTTTAGAAGGTTTGGAAGCATAATTTACTAATAAAATCATTTGGATTGGAAGCTTCCAATCAAATTTTTTACTATTGAAAGCATAAAATGCACATCACAGCATATATATGATTGTTATAATCTGGAATTGACTGAATATGTTATCTAGGAGCTTAATAGAGCCATTTATTTTTATAACTTTCTAAATGTACCTATTTTCCTTCTTTGTTGGTAGTTACTGCTCATTTTTTGGCAGTAGTAAAATTTGATAAAATTTTATGTTTAGCTCGATGGAGTTATCAAACGGTGCCTGGTAGAACTTAGTTTAATCCTGATTATTACTCAGAATTAGTATCTTTTACCTAGTAATAGACTTCTTATATGTAATTATTTTATTACTTGTTTTGTGTTTATAATAAAGGTTAAGATGCATTACCGCATTGAATTTTAAAAGCGCAAAAAAATAAATTGCAAAAAATGCTATGCTTGCTAGAGAAGTCTGACTGTATATTAATATTTTTAATCATTTTTTATAATTTATAATAAAAATACGAAAAATACGTAAAAATTTGATCCAAATTTAAATCACTGGATATTGAGATATTCAACGGATGGATACAATCGTATGCGAAAACTTTAATAATTTTTTTTGATATATATTATAAAATAATATTTATTTTTATTAATATTTGCATAAAAAAAAAAAAAAAAAAAAGCTTGGCAATAGCTCATTTTGTTATGGTGCACAACTTGAAGCTGATTTTATTATTAAAAGAATTCGAAAATGTAGTGAAATTATTTACCTCTCCAAATTTTTCAAAGAAGTGCTTGACCTATAAAAAAAAAGTTTAAAAAGCGATATTGTAAATATTTGATGGCTCAGTATGTATTGATTTGATAAACAAAATTCTATTATCCAAAATGTTAAAACAAACGTCCATTTCTTGTAATTTTCGAAAGAAACCAATACAAGTAACGAACGCTACGACAATTATAAATTTCCTTGCATCGGTAATATGTTTACCTTAAACATAACGAATGCTCACATTTTCATCCTTTGACAAATTTCTATTTGCCAAAATTAATTAGCACCTCTTTTAAATCATCGTCCTTTTAGCATTTTCGGTAAATTTACCATATCTATACTTGGCACATTCCTCTCACATTCATTTTCATACCTCTTCTTAACAAATATTTTCACCTCCGTCCGTAATTTGAAATCTGCTTTATCATTAAAAAAATAAGCAACAATGTTAAGCAATAAAAAATTTTTACTTTGATGTTTTTTGTTATTCCTTTTTTTGTGAAAGTAACTTTGTCATTTACTAACATTATTTATTTACTTTGTAGAACTTTTTAATATTCGAGTTCCAAAGAAAGTTGTCAAGATCCAATTATACTATTAAGTGGGATAAATTTGTTATTACCAAGTAGTTGCTTACTAAAGATTATAAATTTATAAATTTGTCGAAAAAAATTTGAAATGCGGCTTCCGGTGATAAATCTTTCGATTGGGCGGTAAATACAGTATACATGTAGGCGTTTATTATCTTCACTATTAATAGGATTGAATTTGCATTTACCAGAAAAGGTGTTAGATTCCAAGAGATTAAACAAAAAAAAATTTAACGTCATCTTGTTTTCCATAATATAACATTCAACCTTTCATTACAAATGATTATTATCAATATTTTAATTCGAGTCCATTTTAGGAAACAATTATAGTGCTTGTAAATTCATTTTATAATGAAGCTAATACTTCTTTCCGTGAAATTATGCAAAAAATGAATTAAATTTAAACAGAATATATTTCCGATATCTGAAAATATATATTATTGAATGTGACTAATAATAATAAATAAATTTCTTCAGGCATTTTCTCTGGTATAATCTCGTCACAAATGGGACACACGATTTTTTTTCTTTTCATCGGTTACACCCTGGGACGGAATATTTAAGGTTGGATAAGTCCAGTTTCAAAATTTCATTCACCCTTTAATAATATGTTTACAGGTTCCAGGTCATCAATTGAAAATATAATAAGTTCCGGGGAGTTCTATAACTGGTAAATTGGATTTTACACGACTTGAAATATAAGTTGATGTAATTTGTCCCAAATGCCAATGCAATGCATCATTTGCTTTTCTCCGGGTTACTATTTTTAAGTTTTAATTAATTTTACCATAAATTATATGAATGTTGTACTACGAGAATTTTTTTTTTTGACAATTAGTATAAAACTATTAAAAACTATTAAACTTAATAATAAAAATCCTTGGACTGAAACCCCCTTTATAAATATTTTCATGATCAAAACAAATGGTTAAATTTTAGTTTCAACTCCTGAACGGAACGAAAATAGGAAAAGATATAAATGTTCAAGAGAAATCCATAATCACTATAGTTTTTTGTTGTTGTTGTTGATACATAACAGTTACTTCGGCCTTCTGCAGTTCTTTCAAAAACTTAAAAAGAAATCATCTAAATTAGTTTTAATTCCCGCCCACATACCTTTTTTTTTTTTTTTATTTTATTATTTATATTAAATCATTAACAATCACTGTTTCAATTATTACTTACTGTATTTTGATGTAATACGAAGTGTAAATATTTAATTTTTTAATGCAAAAAAAAGGGCAAACAATGTCTTGATTCCGATATTCGGAATCGTCTTTTGTCGATCAATCATCCGTCATATAAAAAGTTACACACCATTGACCATTATATTCATTCCTCCTTTCATATATCAATATTTAATTCTTTTTCTTTTTCTTTTTCTTTTTTTTTTAAAAAAAAAAAGAACTGAAAAAAAAAAATTTTTTTCTTTCCTCTCATTTTATAAATACAATAAAGGATGTCCGAATTTTATAAAAACCTTTCAATTGATTTTAGTGCTTTACTTGATCATTCGGATGATTATAACGTTGTTATTAGAGTAGGTGAAGAAGAAAAGGCCTTTCAAGCACATTCAGTTATTCTTAGGGCGAGGTCACCATATTTTAAAACAGCATTATCAAGTGATTGGGCGAGAAAAGAAGGTGGTTCTATAGTATTCACCAAACCAAATGTTACCCCTACTGTTTTTGAAATTATTCTCAGGTAAGTTATTGTCCTAAGTCAAGGCCGGGAATCCGTGAAGGGCTTCGCGTTCCTTTTTACACAGCCACAAAACTGATATCAACTTTTTATTTCCTCTTCTCAAAGGTACATGTATTCAGGAGATATAGATCTAAATAGCAAGGATACTTCTGATATACTTGATTTACTTATTGCATCGGATGAATTATTATTACAAGAATTATTTAATCATGTACAAGCTTATTTATTAACATACAAAAAGGAATGGATTAAAAAGAATGTAGTCAAAGTTCATCGTACGATCAATTCACATGAAGGATGTCAAAAATTGCAAAATTTTTGTTTAGAAACAATTTGTAAAAACCCTTTATTGGTGTTTAAATCGGAAGATTTTTCAACATTTGAGGAATCATTATTATTACCATTATTATCTAGGGATGATTTACAAACTGAAGAGATTGAAGTTTGGGATCATTTGATTCAATGGGGTATTTCTCAAATGAATCATTCATCATCATATCTTCCTCCAAAAGATGTTTCAAAGTGGGAGAAGAAAGATTTTAAAGAATTACAAAGAATTTTAAAAAATTGCATACCTTTAATTAGATTTTTTGAAATCTCTTCAAGTGAATATTATGATAAAGTATACCCTTATCAATCGATTTTACCAAAAGATATAAAGGAAGATATTATGAAATTTTATTTAAAATCAGATAGTGGTAAACCACAAAATAGGTTAAGCAAGCCAAGGTTAATTTCATTTGATTCAACATTGATTAAACAAGAACATGTGGCGAGGTTGTGTGATTGGATAGATAGAAAAGATGGTAAAGCATATACATTTGAAAACATTCCTTATAAATTTAGATTGTTAATAAGAGGTACGAAAGATGGGTTTGAATCGGAAACTTTTCATGAAAAATGTGATCATAAGGGTCCAACAATAGTTGTAATGCAGATAGCTTATTCGGGAGAATTGGTTGGTGGTTATAATCCTATCGAATGGTCAACCGGAGATTCTAGAATTACCACACAAAATAGTTTCTTATTTAGCTTTCCTAAACAAGGTAACATCGCTGATGCCAAAATATCTAGGGTAAACAGGGCTGGTTATGCCATACGTGTAAAAGACAAAACTCACGGTCCTTGTTTTGGTGATAAAGATTTATGGATGAAACATAATTTTAATGCTTATGATAGTTGTTCTTCTGATAAAGACGATTATCAAGATAGGGTTACGAATTTATCCAAATTTTGGGTTATAGAATATGAGGTATTTCAAGTTATCAAAAAGTGAGATGTTTTAACGCTTAGAATGTATAATTAAAATATTAATATACTTAATCATGGAAAGTAGTCAACTTTTATCAACCTGAATCACAATCCTTTCACAAATCATAATGAACAATTTCAAACGTTTATTTATTTTTACTTTGCATTATTTGTTATTTAGCATTTGTATCTTATTTAATTCTTTTTACGAAAGTTTTATCTTTATAATAATCTTATCATTTGATAAAATAAAATTGGAATTAATACACTATCCCATCGTAATCGTTTATATTTTGTATTTTACTGATAATTCAAACTTTATAAATTTTATAAAGCCAAAGATTAAGGTTTAAATAATTTAAATATTAAATAAAGTATTAAAAACAAAAAAAAACCCCCCGCCCCATAAAGTAACCTTTATAATATTCTATATTTCATGCGTTATCTTTAATAATATTACCACCAGTGGGAGTTTTGGAAGGCAACAATAAAGTTCCTTTTACAGAAAATAAAGAAGAATCATCTTTATCTTCACTCCAATATTCATCTAACGCAGGTGGATCCTCATCCACCGTCAGTCTAGTAAGATACCGTTCTCTCTCGATTGCAACTTTAACTGTTCTTGGTATATCCGGTATCATATACGCAAATATTAATTTAATGATAAATACAAGATGCTATAAATTTATAAAAACTAGTTAGTAGATGTACATTAGTAATTTTAAAAAAAAATTTTTTTTTAACGAAATGAAATGTTATTCTACCTCAAAAGCAAGTACAAAACCAAGCCTAGCAACTAATAGTTCTTCCGAATTCTTTGTATATTTGTCAAATTGAGCATGCATCCATGATGAATGAAATGCTATAATTATTGCATTTGTGACTACCGATATTAATGATACTATAGACATAATATTTTCCCACATTCCCAAATCCTGCGCTTGAGATCCAACTGGTCTTTGAAATGTTTTAATATACTATTAAAACAGTTTTTTTGCCCCCGAGACAAAAAATGATGATCAATATCTCTTATAAATAAATAAAGAAAGAACAAACTTCTTGAGGTTCATATACCTTGAACGCATCGGACCTTATCTCAGTCATATTGTTTATCCAAGCAAATAATGGAGCTAATGGAAAAGCTGTTCCAAATAATGTAATAAACCCAAATTGAATTACAATTTCTTCATATTCGGTTCTAACGGTTTCCGATGTATTTGTTAAATTATCATCATGTACCCATTGCGGCACTTCCGTATGTTTTCTATTAGATTCTTCATATTTTTTCTGCAATTCATCTCGTTCCGCTATATTTTTAGTTTTATACCATTTGCTCATTAACCATCTTCAAAAATGAAATTTATTTAAGTTAGCTACCCCTTAAAAATAATTAAAGCAAGTATATATATATACGTACGGAATTAAAACTTCTTGAACTTGTCCTATCATTTGTTTACCAATAAAAATAATTGCTAGTTGAATTGTAAGTTCATTCATACAGGTTACGTACACCTCGCACTTAAATTAAAGATTATTAATTAGTATTAACTCTATCGAAATTTATTCATAAATCTTTCCCAGAAATCTACTTACATGTTGCTTAAACAACAAAATATAAACTAAAGCCGAATAAAAATTGATAAAATCAAAAAGGTATGCCTTAAGAATCAATGAATCTGCAAAGTTTTTTTTTAAAACGATATGTATTTAATAAAAATAGTTTAAATATAGTGAAAGTTACAACGTAATCACATACCTTCGAATTGTGTTTGAGTTTTATGATTTTCAAAATGCGTAAGATATTTTGCTACATTTCTGTATACCTAATAAAAAATAAAAAAAAACTTAGAAACGATTCATACCGGGTACTTATAATGTTTAGGAAAAAAAAATTATTACAATGTTCAATATAATAATGGTTGCTAAATTTACGGAAGCTGTAATTACAGCTCTTAACTTTGGAGGATTGATATTAAAATGAATTGGGAAAATTATTAAAACTCCTACAGTTACGATTACGATTCCTATCTAAATAAATAAATCAAATTAAAAAATCTTGTAAATTTATAGATATAAACAGACTTGAAATCTTCAAATTACCGAAATTAAAACAATTGCTCCAGAAATAAATAATTTAATTAATTTCTCTTTAAAAGGAAAATGAATCTCCTTTTTCAAAGTAACCGGGGATATACGAAGCACTATAAAAAAAAAAAAATTATTAATTAAATAATAATTTTTCTATATTTTCTTGAAAATATTAACTTACTAGTTCCATAAAATTCAGGTCTTGGAAGCTCCTCTCTTTCGAAGTCAACCACGTCCCAATCGTATTGTATTGAAGCGTTGGCTCTCTTCCATGATTCTAAGAAACAGGTAGCCCAAACTGCCATTAAAAATGTATAAGGTGCCGTAAGTGCGTTATCCCAAATTACTGAAACGTCTTTAATACTGGTAAAACTAGTTTCGCTAAAAAAAAAAAAATGTTATTAACAGAAATAAATCAAAATTTTTATTTAATAAAAATAGAAATTATACATTGCCGCGTCAATTACTCCATAAATAACTACAATTAAACCTGCTAAACTTGCTATTGATAACCATGATGTATAAAAGCCTATAAATTATCGATACAATTCAGTATTTATTTTTTTCATAATTACAAAATTCAAGATATCAAATGATAAAAATAATCACCTAACCAAACAAAGTATAAAGCAAATTTTTCACCGAAATATTCTCTTATTTTTTCAATTGGTTGTTTCCTATGACTTTTAACCCATAATTCGTTTAATTGAGCCCTTAAATTATATTTTTCTAATTCTTCAGGAGACGTAATTGAACCAGACTTAATTTTAGCTAAACCATCATGAATAGGATAAAACTTATCATAAACACCAGCTTTAAGAAGTTTGCTAATTGCTAAAGAATCTATTTTTCTTTTAACATATATCATCCGACCATTATCTAAAACCACTTTTTTATTAATTTGATTAGCTGTAATTATCATTCTATGAACTAATAAATTTCTTCTTGCAGTAGTAAAGAAATTCAATGAAATTTCTGCAATATTTTTTTGAGATTCTGCTCCTTTAAACTTTTTCAATCGATCCTTTTTGAAAACGGACGACTCTTTTTTAAGATCTATTTTATATGAGAAAAATTCTTTGATTTTAGAAAATATCGTTCTGGAGCGACTTGTATCAAAAATTGATAAATCCTTTGGTAAACTTTCATCCTAAATAGATATCAATATTAATTAGTTAATGTAAATATAAAAGTGAGTTTTATAGAAATTTCACTTACGTTCAAACGAATTTTAATTTTAGTTTGTTGAGCTTGCTCACATAATCTATCGAATGGAGCAATAATTTTAACATAAGTATGATTTCCTTCTGTATCAATTTCGTGCTCAAGAACCAATCCAGCACGAAGAAGCAAACATTCAAAGTTTTGACGTTTCTTTGCTCGAATCGCATTTTTCTCTTTATTGTCCTTTTCATTATCATACAGGTGTTTGCCTTTATCATTCTCATATTTTAAAATGAAATCTGGGAATGGATAATCATGAACTACTTTTGCAAGCGCATCAGAATTAGGATATTTCTCCGGATCTAAAAAAAAGATGTTTTTATTTTCGTAAATATAGGTTAAAATTTTTTTTTTTCATTTACAATTTCATTAATTTTCACTTACCATATTTCAAAATAGTTTCCTCCAAAGTAATACCAGGATTCTTTTCCACCCAATTATTAATTTCATTATATAAATTTTGATCTTCTTTATCTATCAATTGTAAAGTACGATGCTCTTCAACTTTTTCTGTAAAAATGTCAAATTTTTCAATATGCTCGTCCAATTCATTATGAAGTGATGTTGCTGAAAAATTAGGTCGTCCTAAAATTGTATCTAATAAAGTACTTCTACTCTTTTCTTTGCCATGATTATTTGATTTTTCGGATAAATCCTTATACAAAGAATCGCATTTTATAAATTAATTAATTTTGTGAAAAAATTCAATTTATTGAAAAAAGTACATTTTGAACATTTGAGAGTATAATTTCTTACTCCATCCTCTGAGATTGGAATTTCTACTTGTCCTTTAAAAAAATTTCTATGTTCAGACATTTTTTGAATACACTTAAAAAAATGGAAGGAGTAAAAAAAGTAAAAAAAGAAGTTTTATCATACCCAAAAGTCTCGTTATTTATTTCTGATTAAAAAAAATTATGCCATCCAAAGATTAGAAGTAGTGCTACAAAAGTAAAATATTTCAATTGGTGTAACTTTAACTGTCATACATAAAAATTGATGATCATCATAATAATTACATCATAAATTACTTGTTAATCTTGTTTAATTATAAAAATCGTCATTTTTGGCGAATTTTTATGGAAAATTGTGCTGACCTGATTTATTACACACAAAAAAAAACGGGAGATTTTCCCGAGTCATTTCAAAAACCATTTTTTTATTCTATTAAAGTAAAATTATATAGAAGCACTTTATAAGTAATTAAGTAAAAATTGTTGGAAAAAAAATATTCATCAACTATTCATTTAACCATTTAGCCAAAGAGTCACGAACAAAAATTCTCAATTCTTTTAATACTCAAAGTTAAATGTTGTATGAGAACCACCATAATAAGGGAAAATTGTATTTTCTTTGCGGTTTTTGGATTAACCCAAATCACTAACACTTAAAGCAGGTAAGATCCATGTCACACCACCAGAAAGCATGCTAGTATAATTTACCCTACATCCCCGACATACACGTGCATTTACGAATAAATATGGTCATTATTCTTTATTAAGTAATCTCTTTTTATCGGATCTATTATTTACAAAACATTTCATTATTTACGAATTAAGCAAATTATTTATATCACATATAAGATAGTTAAAGTACCATTATTGATCTACTGACTGATAAAGGAATGTCTATTTATAAATTGAAATCTTATCTTATTTATCATAAAATTATCTTAACCGATTTATCAATTGTTATGATCTGTGCTTGTGATGGAGAAAAGAGGACGTCCAGAAAATAAGCCTCATAAATAATTGTCTCTCAAAAAAGAAGAATAGATTTAGAACCGATTGATCGTTTCTCTATCAAGTAACCAGATACAATGTTTCATAATGCTTCAATAACTGGAGTTAGAAAATAATTAATGACCTCTCGACCAAGAGAAATCTATTCGTTTAATTACAAAAATTCCAAAAATATCAAAAAACTTTGACTTTCGGTTTCGGCTTTTAAATTTTCTAATTTTTTTAACTTTAATTGGAATTCGGCAAATTGTTATTACAAGTTTTCTTGGCAAGAGGAGGGAGAAACTGTTCCTTCTTCGGACGTAATAAATTTGAATATCAAGACAAAATTAATGTTGGAACAAAGAATTGCCGAGTTAGAAAAAACGGGAGATAATTCTCGGCCTTTATGATGCAGTATTTATATTTTCACAAGTTTTTTACATTTATGATAATATTCTTCTGGACAAATTCTTTTATGCTATTTTTATATTTTCATGTAATAATCGCGTAATACTATAAAAAATTTTACTATAAATAATATTTTTCTTTGTTACGGGTCGGGTTATAAGGATCTAAAAAATCTATTTTCCCGGTAGAAATTCGATATTCGGAATTACAGTAATATTACCCGTAAATACGTACCCGAATATTTTTATAAGTTAGTTGCACATTATGTAGGAAAGATTTCTTATTTTTTTTTATTTTTTTTTTGTCTAATAAAACGTACCTTTTTCTTTTTGATATGATCGCTTCGAGTACTTTTTTCAATTTTTTCGTGCTGATGCGTTGATTGAATAATAGGTAGGCGCATTTATTTTTACTATACCTTTTTTTTTGATTATACGTGTGTAAATGCAAACATGTACGGTCTCTGTAAAAAAAAATCCAAAATGTATTCTCTATACTCGGAGCTTTGTAAGCAACGCAAATTCATAATTCAACCTTTATTTAAATTCAATACGACTTCTCAAAGAACAATTTCAAAGTATGGGATAAATCGAGTTAATTACGATATCATAAAAATAAAATAATGATTACGCAGATTTTAGCATATTAAGAAATTTTATACGATAAATGAATATCTTAGATAGTTTAGATGACAATTTTTAATACAAATAGCAATTTTTAACGTAGCATGTATTACTAAAAAAAATATATTCGTACGCGAAAAGATCAATCTATTTTTATAACCAACTTAATAATTAATTGTTTAAAAAGAAGAAAATGCCAAGGAATTTTACGAGCAAAAAAACGGACAATATTAAATAAAATAAATTTTTATTTTCCATTATAATGAATATTGATTTTTACATTATCATATACTAGGATGATGTTTACCAATAAAAATTTTAAAAATACAGAAGTGATTTTGTAAAAACAACATTGAACGAATTATCGGGTAACAATAGCTTTGTAGATTTGGTGAAGTTAATCTTTCCAATTTTGCAGATCAGCTTGCAAAAAAAAATAAGGTATAAATAATCAGCTTGCAACTTTTCAGCAAACAGCACAAAATCAAAATCCATATTTAAGAAGTAATTTAATATCCAAAACTTGTAAATTTCACAAATCACATAATTCAAACTTTCTTCAAATTTATTAGTACAAACTACAAGATCTCAAAGATCAATTTCAAAAATCTTCCTAAAAAAAAAAAAATGAATCCAACTACTATTGTCGCTAAACCATCTACCGTTTCTGTCGGAGCTACAGAACAACCAAGTAAAGATGGAACAGGAGCTTGTTCTATCATGTAAAACATTAACTAATAGTTATATCACGATGATTTTCTTATTACATTATTTTTTTGTATCTCGTATTTATGTATTTATATTTCAATTAGTAGTATTGTATTATATTTGTCATTCAATTTGAATCAGTAGAAGCTGAGATATTTATGTAAATGTAAATGCATAAATATTTTGATTTTAAAGTTTTTAAAGAATATTAAATAGATTTTCTAAATATCTAATGATTCAAATTAAATAAAATTTTAATATATAAATCAATATATTATTATAAAATATCAAAATTTAAGATGATTTGAATTACTGGATATTGAAAATATTTATATATATTTGATGCAAACAATATTTTATAATAACAATAAATATTAAAGTTTTAAAACATAATCTTATATATTAATTATCTCAAAATTAAGAAATCTGAATCAGTTCAAATTTTGATTTTTATAAATAATATATTTATTTATTATATATTAAAATTTTATTTAATTTTAATTATTATATATTTAGAAAATAACTTTAATATTTTTTTTAAAAATCTATAATTTAAATTATTTATATATTATATCTCAGCTTCTAGTAATTTAAATTAAATAAAAATTTGATATATTATGTTTTAAGAATATATCATAGTTATATAAAAATTTGATCTAATTCTAATTAGTAAATCTTGTGATATATGATGTCAAATTTAGTATTTAAAAACTTTTAACTGGGATTTCTATAATTAAAATATTTATACATTTACATTTATATAAATATCTTAGCATTTACCAATTCAAATTAAATGAAATTTTGAAATATTATTGAGATTATATCAAGATTATATCAAAATTTAAACTAATTTTGATCAATATATCTTGAGAAATATGCTGTCAAAATTAGTGTTAAAAATTTTTGGCTGGGATCTGTATATAGCTTTTGTAATATCTCCAAAATATACTGAAGATAAAAAGTTAAATTCTTATTTAACCTAATAATTTGAATAATAAAATTTAAAAATTAGAATTTTTTGATTAGTAATAATTAAAATTGTTTATTTAAACTCATTTTTAAGTTTTAATATTTAGTTGTAGCTAATTAAAACTAAATTTTTGTAATTGAAACAATTTTAGTTAATAGCTGAAACTATTGAAACTAGTATTATTAAATCAAAACTAATTTTTAGTAATTTAGGTTTATTTAACAATTTTATTTATAATTACATACAAATTAAATAGAATAATAAAAATAAAATATATAATAGCAAAATATTTATTTACATCACTTTCAATAATTAAAATTTTATAAATTTTATAATAAAATTAATATTTCTTAAAGTCTATCTAATTGATATATAAAAAATAATCCACATTCCTATCATTATTATTTTATAACTAGTAAATAATTAATGATTTATTTGATTTTATATAAATAACTTAAGTGATGTAATTATTATATTAATATATCATAATTTTTAATAATTATAATAAATATTATATCATAAAATAAATTTATTATTCTTACTAAATTTAAAAAAATTAAAAGTTTTATATAATAATATTTTATAAAAAATTATTTGAAAAAATATTTTTTACTAATACAGTCAACCCCCTCTATAGTCACTTCCTATACAATCACATCATATAAATCCTCCGTTATAAGCACACCTTTCATAAAAACCAGTTCCTATTAACACTATATAAAAAAACCTTTCTATAATTACAATGTTATTATAGTTATATCCAAGGTTGCTGGACGAAATCAAGAGTTTAGATAGACGTCTAAATGGTAAAAGTAAAACTCGGTTAAATTATATTAAAACCTTATTAAAAAATTTGCGAAATTTGGAAAAAGGTAAAACGATATCAAAGCTTATAAAATGGCAAAACTATATCAAACACTTAGTAAAATTTAGCGAAACTAAAGGTTTAACCGTTTTACCAAATCCAAAATGAATTTAGACAAGTAATCTTAGTCACATCATTTTGGAATCAATACTTAATAATACTATAAAAAATTCTTCTATATAGTCACTTTTCACTATAGTCACTTTTTATTTTTGGTCTCGAGGGGTATGACAGTAGAGAGGGTCGACTGTATATAAAATTGTTTATAAAAAATATTATTAGTAAATCAGATTTTAAAAATCTTTTTAATTAAAATAAGATCTTATTATATTTTATCTAATTTTTTGTTATTTTTTTTCTTCTAGTCTAATATTAAAGAATTTTTATTATTTATATAATTTTATTATAGTATATAAAAAATATGATATATTTTAATTTATAAATTTTACCTATTTTAATAATACTAGATTTTTTTGTTATATATAAATTTAATAATATCGATATAGGTGATAGTATATTTATTATACTTTTAAGATTTTTAGGTTATTTTAGTGTTTCTAATATCTCTAATAAATATACAGATTTATTTAAAAAAAGAAATTTTTTATTATATATATATTATTAAAGATAGGAACTGTAATTAATATGTTGCAACTTTTAATGTTGCAACTTACGTTGCAATTAGTTTTAACCTATATATGTTACAACTTATAATGTTGCAACATATATTACAACTAATTTTAGCTTATGTTGCAACATTTTGTAAATTTGAAATCAATTGCTGTACCATCTTTATATATGATATAGGTATGGTAAATATAGAATAAATCAGTTCTTTCTTAAAGTTTATTACTATTAGCAAATAAAATGTTTTATTAACTTAAATAATACCTATTAATAAATTATACTATTACCAGCTTAGCTATCTTTTAAATAGATAATAAAATTCTTGATACTAATACTTACTGCATACTTTTCATATTTTTATATAAAAAAATTATTTGAAAGGTTTGCTAAGAAAATAGGACTTTGAGTATTTTTTAATAAAATTTTAATTTTTATTGCATTTTAATTTAACATTATTAAAAAATACAATAAAATTAAAATTTTAATAAAAAATACTCAGAGCCCCATTTTCCTAGCAAATCTTCTATTTATCACATTTTTTTAGTCTAGCAATTTGATTATTCCTTCACATCTATCAATTCGTTTTTTTTTCTTCATGTTACTAAATTTTTTTTCTTAAGAAGTTTTCAATAAAATTTAAATAATGATATCTATTATTACAAAATATATTATTTTAAAGAATATAAGAATAGTAATAGAATCTTATATATAATGTTTTAAGTTAAACAAGTCAAACTCAACTTATCAGACTTGTTAATTTATTTGAAAATATAACTTTTAAGATTTTTAAAAAAATGGTTTATTTACATTATTTCTTTTTTATAAGTTTCTTTACTTTAAAATTTTTGAAACTTAAACTTAATAATTTATTATTTTGAATTTTATAACTTTTTTTAAAGAAAAATTTAATTCACATTAATTTTTTTAATTTCTACTTTATAGTTTTTGAATTATTAATCTTTTGTGATTTTTTAATAACATGATTAGTTTAAATGTTTCACAGTCTAATATTCAAGTAGCTTAATTTATTACGTTATGATTTAGAGGTTAGAACTGGTTTAGTGTAAATCAATTTAAATTCAGTTTAAACCAGTTGCAATATAAAATCAGGTCTAATTTTTTCAGATTTGAATAAAATCAGTTGATTGCGAAAATTTAAATTTAAAGAAACTGATTAAACCAGATGATCACATAAAACCTGTTTATGTATTAAAATCAAAGTTTAACATATGACATTTATGTAACATTTGATAATATGTATGTAATATTAGATATTAATCTAATTTCAACAATGACATTGAGGTTAAAATAATTTTTTTTTATAAAAGAAATTAATTATGTGGATTATCCATTTTTGCAATTATTTTTTTTTGTTTTTATATTTGCAAATATATAGGCCTAATCATTTAAATTTGTTCCTTCTGAAGTTTTGTAATTTTTATGAATTTGAATTTGGTTAGATTATACACTTCTTTATATAATTTCAACATTGTATATTTCCCTTTATGTATAATATTCTCGTTACCAATATAATGTAGTGATAAAAAAAATTTTTTTTTAGTTTTATTCAAGAATTTTTTTTTTGATAAAGAAAATGGAAAACTTACCTTTACTACCTTTTGAATTTGTTTCTCCTATTGATATTGATTCTGATGCTAAAATTATTACAAGTATTAGTAGTTTAGCCTAAAAAAAATGTAAAAATAATATAGTGATTGATATAATTACTAAATTTTGTAGCAATCGTAGTTATACATCCTATTTTTTTATTCGAATTTAAATGATCCTTCTGTTACTTATTGCAAGATATGTAAAGTTAATTTAGCTAATACATATAAAAGGCATATCCATATAATTAAAAGGGAGAAAATACAATAAATCTTATTAATTATTTACGTGATAATTACAAAGAAAATTATATGGGATTTTTGGATGAGTTTAATAAGATATTATTATATAATTTTATTTTGAAATTTGGCATTTTTATTAATATATATTATGCTTAATTTTAAACTTTTTTATTAATAGCTATGATGTGATTAAAAATAAATCATAGAATATTTAAAGGCAGTAGTTCCATGTTCACAACAACGTCAAGAATTTATTATTCAAAAGCTTGTTACTTTTATTATTAAGCTTATTCAACCATTATATATTTTACAAAATTCTTCTTTTCGTGAATTGCTACTTACTAGAAAACCTGAATTTAGAATACCATGTGATAAGACTGTAAAAGCAATACTTTTATATGAATTAATGATCAACTTAAAGTAATAACATTAATTCTATTCATTTAACTATGAACTTATGGATTGCAAAATCTCATCAAGGATATCTTAGTATAACAATTACATGGTTAATATCTAATTTTGAATTTCGATAAGCTATTTTATCATGCAAACATCTTTCATACCTACATATCAGAAAAGTTATTAGTGCAAAAATAATGAAAGTTTTAAATGATTGGCATTTAATTGACAAAGTATTTACTATTGCAATAGACAACGGGGCTAATATGATTAAAGCTATTCAATTATTAAGAGAACAATATA